GGACTGCGGGTCGTGGCTAAAGCATTGCGGGTTTTGGCTAAAGGAATGTACGTCAAGGCTAAAGGATTGTGGGTTTTGACTAAAGGAATGTAGGTCAAGGCTAAAGGATTGTGGGTTTTGGCTAGAGCTTGATGGGGAAAGGTGTATAACAAGAACTATAGGCAGTACAATTCAGTTGGTGTGGGCTATTCGGATAGCTTCAGTGATACACCGCACCACACGATTGCTTCGGTGTCAGAGGAACAAAATTTATAAACCGGAATAAAGAAGACAGAAAAGAGGGTTATCGGGTGGGGAGGGAAAACGTTACAACTTGGTAATAATCCAGGAGTTTCATTAAAAAATGTATAACTTTATCTACCATAAGTAGAGGGTGCTTCTAGTGATATATTTTGACGGACCATTTATTCAGATTATACATATCTTCAAGCAAAACCCTTGGCTCTTAAATTATCCGCATATTCATCGGCCCGTTGGGGATTCGAGCTCCAACGTCAGTAACAGTCGTGTCGCGGGAGTATCAAGTGGAAGACTAAGTGGATTGACGGAGGATTGCGTGTGAAGATAAAGTTCGGAGTAGAACCAGTTAAATAACATTTATTGCACACCTATAAGTTTTTAATACAGGCCATGTGGTGGGCATCAGAATGGATAAGCCTTCATAGTCATGAGGATCCAGTTTTCGCTTGATAGAATTGGCGAACTATAGCCAAAGAGAGTAAGTAGCGAACTAAATTAGACCACATTTGGATAACGGCGAGTAAAAAATGGAAATTCCACTTATGGTCTGAGAAGCAAGCATGTGTCAAGAAACCATCGAAACGATTTCAGTGTGTCAGGGAAGAAAAAGATTAAGGGATGTGACTGAATTTGGAATAGGGCAAAAATAGGTGAGAATAGAGAGAATGGCTTGCATGAAATTAACTTACTGTTCGGATACGTGCCATTCTGCTGGGAAAAGCACTTGCAGCTTACGTTCCAACGGTGGTAGATTTGTTCGCAACCAGGCATACCGATGATCAATTTTGTCCAGCCAAGCTGAGGTTTGTGAAGGTTCAAATAACTCTTTGTATTCGCCCAACTGTCGCAATAAGAACCAATCGAGAATCTGCGATTTGACTTGCAAATTCTCTGGGAGTAACTCCATCAACTGACAAGCAGCTTGAATCAGAGGAGCCTGGTCGGTAATACTGCGAGATCGCTGAAATAAAAGAAGACAGATACGTATTGTCGTTTCTGTTCTAGTGGGGCATTTCTAGCGACCACAAAACAATCTGACATGTATTGGACAAAGCCGGTTCAGGTAGAAAAGCACGTGAGATGAAGGATGGGTGCATGTCATTTGAAAAACAGATGTCACCGGTTCAATTCGTTTTCGATAGGCAATGCGGATTCGTCTCCAATACACTTTATGGCTAAGGTGCTATTCTTTTTTATACATTGGGAAACCTAATAAAACCAATTATGGTCACAAAATCTCAGATTAACCGTCACAAAAGGATAAAGGAAAAAGACTTGAACTGACGCTTTCATGAGACGAAGGAGAATGTTATACGGACGCGGGAGCTCATATGGGAAAGGATTTGATTGATTCAATCATCTAGTTAGCCATCCAGTGCATCACTTCTGTTCACGGTTTCGGAGAACGCGAGTGTCATTACGAGCAGAAATAAAAAAACGTATTGAGTGAGAGAAGCCGGTGGGAGCAAAACCACCGCAGTTTCCGATATTCACTTCGGTCACCAAGTGTTTCAAAAAAATCAATATGAAAACTTACAACGACCACATATAATTGAGCAAGATGAAAGTTTCTTCAACTGCTAACCATGATTTTGTGGGGTTCATTGACGGACAAGTTTTGACCTTGAAGTGACCACTCGTTACTCGTTGGAGAAACATACACACTACGGAACTCTTTTGACTACTCTTTGATCAGAATTTAGAATTTTCGCGCCGATAGGCGTTTGTTCAACAGATTGGATATATTTGTTTGCATCTTTTGGTTTAAAGCTTACAGTCAGTTGCATTGGAGTTAATCATCAACAGAGTCTGCACCAGCTCGTTTTAGATGACACCCTTGTGTGATGAACAGCGGGTGGGGTAAGCCCCACTGTCCCGAGGACTTGTTGTTCACTCTCGGACTTGAAGAGGCGCACCACAAGGCTCCACTAGGTTAGCCGTGGTACTAATCCGGACGACGGCGAAGCTGCCTACCATTACAAGGAGTTTCAACCTCGGACCCTAGAGGTGGTGTCGAATCAAGCTCTCAGGAATCGTGTTCAGTATCAGATCATGCCTGAGTGAGGCTACCGTCGGTTTTGATACAAGATTAAGATATACATGAAGTGAGTGGAAGCTAACTTATTTTATACGGAATAGTTGAGACATATCGACGATGAAAATGACGCTAGTTGCAATGGCAAATTATATGACACACTTACTGTGAGTAAATTTTTGAGTTCTCTGACCAATCGGTTGGTTAACACATCGTGGATTTTGTCTAGCTCGCGGGACAAACCGCTCACTGACGGTACCGAGCCATAGGCAGCCATCATGGGTTGCATTAATCGCTGGGCCTGGGCAAGTAGATCAGAAACCTCGGTTACAAGAGATAGTGAAAGTTGCTCCTCAGTATCCGCATTCTCCGGCGAAGTTGTTTTGTTAGTATCTTGAGCAGAAATGAGGAGCGTGAATGGAATACAGACGAAAACTGAAGATATCAGCACTCAAACCGTGACAGAATGACAAACTTTTCTATATTCTGTTTTTACATACTCTATGACCCTTACCACAAAAAAAAAACATTTTTACCGCTGTGTTTCCCAAAGTAAGCCCTCAATCCGCAGTGTTGCCGATTAGCAGTAGATTGGAAAACTATCCAACACATGAGTTGGACTTTGCAAAGAACAACAAACTGTTTTAACTTCGATAGGGGAGAACATAGTATCTCCTCAGAAGGAATTAATTTCCCCACTTTTGTATTTACTTTCATAAAAATCAAACTTCTATTTTTTGCGCCAAAAAGCCTTCCTACCGCACCACTAGTCCCCTTATTCTTGATTGGCTCATTTTCCTCAGATTTTGTACTTTTGGCTAATTTACAAAACCAAAGTAAAAATGTGTATAAATAGACGACTTTATCCTCAAAATCGTCTTTTAGTCAACCGAAATACACGAACTCGCTTTAAGATGTGCTTTTCTTCTTTCTCTCCTGTTTGTTTCGGCTCGGAATCAAACTATATTGAGTGTTCTGTCCCTCTCATTTGTTCTATCAGATCTGGGTTATCAATCGAGCTGTTCCGTGGATCACAACAAATTCGTACTAGGAACACAGAAGCCTTGTAGAACAATGAGGATTTCCCATCTAATCTTATCATACAATAAGTCCAACAAAGGTTTTCTTTTTGACTTGCCAATGAGATACTTATAGTCTACAAGAAGCGCGATTAACTTTAAAGAACGTATTGTGCTTACGGAGCGCAACTAAATTCCGCACTGGAATATTGCAGTCATGTTTACAGAGAGACCACTCTTGATTTTCGGTACCTTTCAGAATTTAAGCCATTTGGATTATTGCCTTGTACTTTCCTGATGCCAACCTTTCAACCAGTTTCTCATTGCCATGAGAAAGCTTCCTACCTGATACTTCTTTACCGTTATTTCCACCCCATGGTTTGCCACTATGAGATCTCTCTTACTATCGCTTTCCCACCAATCCCGGGTATAACTACTCAGCCTGAAAAAGCTACTGATTGGTGACGTGAGGATGGTCTTCACACAAGAACTTCGGGATTCCAGAGCTTCCTTCAATACTGATTTTTTCGCGCCATAAAACGTCTTTCCATCCTCAAGAACACAGCCAAACGACATTGTACATATTGGCCTATACGATTAAGGCTTTTCCTCCTTTACAGTACATAATACGTGCCATGCCGCCAGATTAAGTGGGGTTGTATCACACTAGTGTCGTGGTCAACAGTCACAGTGAAGTGAGCTTCACTGATTTCTTCAATGCTTTTAATGGCCTAAGGAGGCATTAGTATGATTGTGTCTTGGGTTGCGGCTGGTCACTCTTCTTTTGTACCTCAGACATTCTTATACGATCAACCGTTTCAAAGAGCCTCTACTGAGGAAGGCCAACTGACTGCCTTCTTGTAGCGAAGTTTTCCCATCGAAGTGATAGGACGAAAAGCCAACATCTTAAAAGGTGAACCCTGGCGGTTCACTTAGAGGAGCTGGCTGAAAACCATGATCCCAAATCAATCAAGATGAGGTATGCGAACCACACACACACACACTCCTGGTAGTGACAGTGGTCTCCAGCATGATTGGGCATCTAAGTGTATCGGGCACCTCGGACGTCTGACCCCATTCAAAAGCGGTTTGATCCAATGAACTGGACACCGGCCCCCAATGGATTGCGGTTTTCACACACCGGTTCCCTGCCTTGCTGGTTAGGGTTTGGCTAACCGAAGGCTCCGGTTTTGAACTTCCTAAGAAAATTCATTTGCCTTGGCCTGGGTAACCTACGAGTATCTCACCTACTAGCAAATCACGGACCTCGTTCTTTGTTATAAAAATTATTGTGCAATTACCCGTTTAGAACAGTCTGGAATCAGACACATGTAAAAATGCAATAACCATACTATAATCGATACAAGTTAAGTACAAATGTATAAGTTGGATGGCGAATAGGCCCGTTTTGAAAGGAGGGAGAAGGAAACTGAATTTCCATAGTGGACACAAAGCACAGTACAATGGTACACACAAACGTCCTCGTGACTATGGGGTCCATCCGTCTGTTATCCGCCACACAACCATGTAGCGAAGAAAACCCTTCAAGCACTTTAGTTCGACAAGAAACGACAAGGGCATCACTACTACTGCTGCTTAGCAGAAATCGCCCATCCAACCTCAAGGCACACAAGCTATAAAGAATTCCAATCAGCATCGGTTGTCGAGAAGGACCGCTTTTCGTCCCCCACACTTAAACGATTGCGTCGGAAGAAAGAACAAGCTTTCAAGGCGAAAAAGTAT